CGGTTTGTGACGAAGTATTGTGGTGGTAGGCAGGAGTAGATGGAAGGAGAAGCAATCAGAAAACAAGTGACATGAGAGGTTGGGGCTCTTGTGTTGGCCTTTGGACTTCCTGTAATCAGCTACTGTAACCTACGCAAAAATTGCACCCAAAACCCACTTACTGAGGACCAGGCCCATCTTAAACAAGAGAATAATTTAGGTAGAACAGATTAATAAGAACCATGACGTTTTAAATCACTAATACAAAATCACGCGGAAAGAGTTGGCGGTGTCATGAAACATTAATTCAAGATTAAGCGTAAGACTCTTCACATGATATTGTATTAAGCGTTTGTATTAAAAATGCAAGCAATTCCTGAAATAAGCATATGGTAGGTGATTCTACCTTCAAATGTTTTTTAACCTATAAACATTTTGAATTTTTCGTCACAAGCGCTCTTGATGATCTGAAAACGTTTGGTGATCTGAAACCGCTCTAGAAAAGTCTTTCTTCAATAATTATATTTGCAATCTCTTTTTCAAAAAACAAAAGGGCCTTAAGCTTTCCAATCGAATATAAAAACCCGACATTGAAAAGCCTTGTGATTTGAAAAGGGACAGAACCAAACGGACTTACCAACAAAACCACCAACTTATATTTTGCTAATTTGCTCTTTTCCATATTACCATAGACCTCCACTGCATTTTTCATTTTCACATTTAGCCCAAAGAAGAAACAAGGAAAAAACCAAAGAAACCTCTCACGAATCTGGTAAAAGGAGGCAAAAACAATGATGATATTTTCGTAGAGCTGGCAAATGGTCGGGTTTAGTTGGGTTTTGGTTGGATTGACCACAAACTGATTTTTTAATGAGTCACTCGAAGTCAACCTGTTAAACTTATAGATGCATGCCTTCGATCCATTTCTCGAGATTTATTCTCGTATAGGGCTTTTCCCCTGTTTTCGAACTAGATCTACGGGTTTGGGTTGGTGTTTTTTGTTGTTAGTGAGTCAAATCCTCCCCCTATGGCTTGCTTTTCCATGTTTTGTTGCTCTTCTCAACTGTTTAGTGGTGGCTCCGCCTTCCTCTAGCGGCCTTGACTCGCGTGTTGCAGTGGACTTGCACTAGTTGCAAGTGGTGAGGGGTCAATGGATGGAATCAAGCCTACCAGAGGATTTCATTTTCTCATATCTGTGTAGTTTTAGTGTCGGTTTGTTTGTACAACTTCTAGCGGATAATATCTCACCTTGCGAGTGATGTGGCCAGTTTGTGAGTGGTGTCTTGATGTGACCCCGATTGTTAGACTTGGTTTTTCATTGTGGCCTCACTTTGCCAAATGATGGTTTTGATGTGGTCTCGTTTGTTTTGGCGGTGATTACATGGGCTGCAGTATAGATTTGGTCTGTCTGTCGTCTTTGTGGTAGATTTGTATGTCAATGCTTGTGCTAATGCGTGTGCAGTTGTGGTTGCCAATTAGGGGGTTATTATTAACTCTAGTTCGTGCGAATTACCTCCAAATCAATTTATTTGGTCACCAGAGATTATACCCATGTGGCAACTCTTGTAATTGTTGTGGACTCTTTGTAATTGTGATTCAGTAATGAAATTCTACTATCGCTTCTAGTAAAAAAAAAAAAAAACTTAAGCTGAAATTGTCTCTCATATATTATATGTATACACTCCACACATGCCTTGTACTCAAAGTAGGGAACCACATCATCGTCGCCATAGTCCGATTCCTTGCTTGATTTTATTTTTTCTTTCATCAATTCACCATCCATGCCATCATCACATTTGATCATAATTTTTAATTATTTTAATCCAATTGGAAATTATTCAATGCTAATTTTAATTAAGTTATCCTTTAGCAATGTGTACTCTGACTCAATCCAATCCATAACCTATAGTTTATACAAGCTAAACAAAGATTAATCCATAAAACATATGTTTATATTATCTCAGAGGTAGAGTTTGTGAGTTTCCAAGAGCTGTCCATGTTACTAATTGTTTTATCTAATGCATTACAATAAATGAGAATTTAAAGCAACTTAAAACCCTCAAAAAAAGAAAGTCAAAATCTTTTCTTAAAAAATATAATGTTCTTAATATTGTCACTAGTGTTATGGTCTAGTGATATTTATTTTTACTTATAAGTTAAAGATTTTAAAATTAACTCCCATAGAGGGCAAGTTCAACACACATTATTATGATGAGTCCATTGTGTGACTTCTTCCATTACCCACCCTTTAATATAATTTATCGTTGTGTAGCAAAAGGATCAATCTAGATGGGAAAATTTTTGTTACCTGAAGTTTTTATTTTATTTTATTTTATTTTTTAACAAATACAATGAATTTATACATTACAATTATCCACAAGGAAGAGATAAGAGGGCTCTATGGAGAATGTGGTCAGGAATCCATAATAAAGTCTGATTGCAAGCCACAGGTTTGAACGCATATAGCTCTACTGGGCGTGAGTTTCTTGTTTCGCAATTCCAGAATCTCCTTGTTGAACGGCCAGTTCTCCAAGGAAGTTGTCCATTTATCGAAGGGGCGTGAAAACACATAAATACTCATCTTTATCAGAGCAAGGGGTGATTGAGCTTCCCAAACCCAGGTTTTCACAAGCGTTGGTGGGTCCTTTAGCTTTCTCATCCTCTTGGATTGCGTCAACCGCTTAAGTGAAACCAAAAGGGGAGAATTTCCATTAATTTCTTGTAAGTAATATTCTTCTTCACTTACGTTTATAGCAAGTTGGATACTTTGTTACTTTCATATGAGACATATAGACATTATGATATGTTCACTTGTAAATGGCTAATAAATTATCCCAATTTAGGTTAACTAACACATGCTCTTGTCTAGTCATAAAAATAACCGTTTGGGGACATAGTAGACAGACACTATGTCAACCTTAACCCCCGAGGCCTATATTATATTCGACAACCACTTACCGAAACAAAAAAATTGTATTCAACGAGTGTGACATGTCACATGTGAACAATAACACTCTATAGCAATGTCCGAGATTAATGTATAATTATCTATGCATACAGCTACAAATATTAACCAAGAAGCCACAAATAGGATGATTTTTAAATAAGCTGTTGACAAGTACAATTATATTCGTAAATGCACATGGCCAAAAGAATCAATGATTGTTCAACCTTGATCATTATGGACGATTCTCGTGAATGATAGTTGTTAGCCATTTTGTTATAAATAGGTAAAAGTTAGAGAGATAATCTTTGTTAAGGATATGAGCAAAGCGGATTTAAATATTACATTGTTTAATTTCGTAACTATAATACAAAATGATTGCAAATAAAAAGAGGAAGTGAGGGATACTGATATTATTGCTTTCACTTCTTTTAATTGTTGTGTATTATGATCACATATGGAATACTCTTTATATAGAGCCACATCAGTGAAGGTTTACAAAAATGATATAATTGTCTTTTGAAAAGCCTCACATATCAACAACACAACTATTCTCAAGTCTTCATCACTATTAGCTAAAACATGTGGGCATATATTTCCACAATTTTTACAACAGACTTAATTTTCTAGTCCATCAAATTGTTGCTTTACCATGTATCAACTAAAGCTTTTAAGTGTAATTGTAAATTAAACACGTAAATAATTTACATAGATTCTCATGTTCGTGTGGAACAAAAAAGATGCTAGTGTTAGTCAAGCATGAACAGGTGGTTCAATAACAATTGATCACGTGACGTCTATGCGTAACTGATGCTAGCACAAGTCTCACAATAATGTTTTAACCAGACCTAGATTATAAAGTACTATTAATTAAGCTTTTGGTCCATTGGGGACTTTACTATACATCCAATAATAACCCTAATAAGATTAATGCGTTGTTGCCATTTAATATTATAGTTTAGTAGTATTTCTTTTCGCTTGCAATTTTGAAGTCTTCAGTTCGAATTTTGTGAATTGCTTGATTTATTTCTTTAAAAAGAAGAATAGTTGGTGGCTTCGACCTAAAAGTCTACCTTTATGAGGGTCAAGAAAACTCACAGAGACACTTGAGCCTCCTCCTAGCCACTATTGTGGGATTCACCGACGTTAAGAATCAAACCCAAAATGTGTCGTGCAAAATACGAGCTTGAAATTTGTTCGCAACTACTAAGTCACCATGTAGTATTTTATTTTCTCGCTTCTTAGTGTAAACGTATTCATGTATAGAAAATTAATGCATTGTTAACAGTTTGGTAAAACGCAACAAATAAAGCGTGGTCCGTCCTTGGCCTTATATTCTCGACGGATAAAAAGTTTGGGGAAAACGCATTCAGACACAAACATGACGCGTGGTCCTTGTTTTACTTAAGACAGAATCTAGTCACCCCTTAGTTTACATTCACATTCACATACAATGTACATTCTTATGTTATAGGTTGTTTACTTATCCTAATTAATCACAACTAATCATCCAAAACCCTCATTCATTGTACATGATGGATTTGTCTTTGTGTCAATTTAGGAGGTAAATGCAATGAATATGAATGGTACCCTATCACGACGGAGACAGTGAAGGATGTAGAAAACATAGTGCGAAGTGCACAAAAAGATAGTTTATTCATGGAGGCATTTAGGCGAGCAATTGATGGGCTTGTTGTCATCAGTCGAACCAAGTTGCACACATTTAAGAAGATATTGACATATGCCGAAGCAATCTGACGAGTGCTATTGAGAGAATTTATCGAGTGTTGACGCAGCTTGCGATAGACATTTTGTCAAACACTTGGTGTGCACAAAAAGGACATTTACCAAACATCCAGAGGGTCCTCGTAAGACCTTTCATGTATATTTCAGACAAGAATTCTCTTCCCTCATATTTTTTTCCCCTTCTCTTTACTTCCCAATAGAGGGCGAGTTCAACACACATTATTATGATGAGTCCATTGTGTGACTTCTTCCATTACCCACCCTTTAATATAATTTATCGTTGTGTAGCAAAAGGATCAATCTATGTGGGAAAATTTTTGTTACCTAAAGTTTTTATTTTATTTTATCTTATTTTATTAACAAATACAATGAATTTATACATTACAATTATCCACAAGGAAGAGATAAGAGGGCTCTATGGAGAATGTGGTCCAGAATCCATAATAGAGTCTGACTGCTAGCCACAACTCTGAACGCATATAGCTCTACTGGGCGTGAGTTTCTTGTTTTGCAATTCCAAAATCTCCTTCTTGAATGGCCAGTTCTCCAAGGAAGTTGTCCATTTATCGAAGGGGCATGAAAACACATAAGATCTCATCTTTATTAGAGCAAGGGTTGATCGAGCTTCCCAAACCCAGGTTTTCACGAGCGTTGGCGAGTCCTTTAGCTTCCTCTTGATCTTGGATTGCATCAACCGCTTAAGTGAAACCAAAAGGGGAGAATTTCCATTAATTCCTTGTAAGTAGTATTATTCTTCACTTGTAAATGAAAAGTATTATATTCTTCTTATTTTTTTAGCAAGTTGGATACTCTGTTATTTTCTTATGAGACATATAGACATTATGATATGTTCACTTGTAAATGGCTAATAAATTATCCTAACGGAAATTTTATTTGAACCCATGTAACCTCTTTCTACACCCAACTTACTCTCTTCACCCATATTGTTTTTTATTAAAGAATTAATCTCTATTTAAACCCAAATTTATTACCAAAACTACCATCTCAAACCCAATTCAAAATGTTAAGTTATCTTTACACCCATTCCCTTTATAAAATAACATCTGTAATTGAATTTAAAAAAAAAAAAAAAAAAAAAAAAAAAAGAGGCGTCATTGCCCCACCCCTCTTCCTAATAGCATTTCCATGGCAACTTTTTTTTTTTTTTTTTTTTCTGCTATCAAACCCAAACATTTACCTTTTTTATTTCTACTGATGTGCATAAGCAAACAATTCATCCCCTTATATTTATCAACAAGTAAGGAAGTTTATAATCTAATAATATTGGTAAGAAGTTTTTCCTTAGAATTTTCCAATTGCAGGAAGTTTAACAAACCATTCGGGATTGATGAAAAAAATTAAAACCCAAATCCTCATCTTCTAAACTTTTAAAAAATTGAATCAAACAAACAAAATATTCATAAATTGAGTCATACCTTAGTTTGAGGATTCAAAACTTCAAAATCACCATCCATAAAAAAAAAAGTTTGTTTTTCTCTACGAGACCTATTAGGGCACGTTTGTTTGGCCTCTTTAAGTCTCACTAGACTGGACTGCCTTAGGTAGGAGTCCTAGCCCGTGTTTGGTGCAAACAAAGACTGCCTTTAATGAGACTAAGTCGGACTCGCACCGACTAAAAGCTTCACTAGCTGTTCTTAGATGGTCCCTTAGAAAACTGGCGGATTGCTAATCCCGTCTCTAGCACCCACGTCGTCTGCAAGCATGCATCCCGGATCTCCTTCTTCCCACGAACCCAGTTACCAAATCATGCCTTCCGCCCTCTTCTCTAGTCACCAAATCTGAAACAGCTCTGCCCATTTCATCCCGCAAATCCAACCCCCTCTTTGCTTCAAAGATGAATTCATTTAGTTAAGCTTCCAATAAGCTTAATCCACCCCATACACAACACTTCAGTTCGAAGATTAAACATTATAAATCTCAAATATAGAATATCAAAATCTACAATAAACCTAGAAATCTATTACCTTGGGTTGCTGTGCACTTCTTCAAAAATCTATAGGCAAAAAACGAAAGACCGCCAGAAATCCACAATGCTCTTCTCCAGAAACCCAGAAATCTATTACCTTGATTTGGGATTTTTGTGAAAAAGAGAGCTATCTTTGGTTAGAGGAACAAGAAGAAAGACTTGTTGGTCTTTGATCCAAATTAGGTGTAAAATGCATAGCTTCCTCCGTTGAAGAAGAAAACAAGGAGAAAAAGGGGGAAGAAAAGAGGGATGAGAGGGAGACAGTGTGCCAGAGAAAACGAGGGAGAATGGTGGAAAAATGGTGAATGTTTCCAGAAAAAAGGAAGAGAATCCAAAAGGAAAAAAATAAATTAAAAATAAAATAGATAAAATATTAATAGATACATAAAATATTGATAGATATAAATATAATATTATAATTTATTAATTAGTCTGCTTTTTAGTCCGACACTACACCAAACACTTCACTAAGTTAGTCCAGTTTAGTCTAGTCTAAGCCAGTCCAGTTTTGTCCCTGAAGCTAGTCCAGTTCGGTACAACAAACGCCCCTTAGGGTTTTAGCTAGAATGAATGTAGGATAAACAAGAAGTGATGATATGGTTTAATGGGTTTATTGATAAATTTGAATTTTATTATTAATTTCATTTTATACTTAATAATAATTATGCAATAGGGTAAAATAGACAATTAACAATTTAAATTTAAATTAAGTGTAGAAATAGATTACATGGATTTAAATAAAATTTTCCTTATCCCAATTTGGGTTAACTAACACATGCTTTCGTCTAGTCATCTATATAACTGTTTTGGGACGTAGTAGACACTATGTCAACCTTCTCCCCCGAGGCCTATATTATTATATTCGACAACCACTTGCCGAAACAAAAAATTGTATTCGACGAGTGTGACATGTCACATGTGAACAATAACACTCTATAGCAATGTCCGAGATTAATGTATAATTATATATGCATACAGCTACAAATATTAACCAAGAAGCCACAAATAGGATGATTTTTAAATAAGCTGTTGACAAGTACAATTATATTCGTAAATGCACATGGCCAAAAGAATCGATGATTGTTCAACCTTGATCGTTATGGACGATTCTCGTGAATGATAGTTGTTAGCCACTTCGTTATAAATAGGCAAAAGTAAGAAATCTTTGTTAAGGACATGAGCGAAGCAGGTGTAAAATATCACACTGTTTAGTTTTGTAACTATAACACAAAAAGATTGCAGATAAAAAGAGGAAAGGAGAGGTACTGATATTATTGCTTTCACTTCTTTTCATTGTTGTGTATTGTGATCACACACGGAGTAGTCTTTATATAGAGTCCCATCCGTGAAGGTTTACAAAAAATGAAATGATTGTCTTTTGAAAAACCTCACATATGAACAACAACACAACTATTTTCAAGTCTTCCTCACTATTAGCTAAAACATATGGGCATACATTTCCACAATTTTTACAACAGACTTAATTTTCTAGTTCATCAAATTGTTGCTTTACCTTGTATCAACTAAAGCTTTAAGTGTAATGGTAAATTAAACACGTAAATAATTTACATAGATTCTCATGTTCTTGTGGAACAAAAAAGATGCTAGTGTTAGTCAAGCATGAACATGTGGTTCAATAACAATTGATCACGTGACGTCTATGCGTAACTGATGCTAGCACAAATCTCACAATAATGTTTTAACTAGACCTAGATTATAAAGTGCTATTAGTTAAGCTTTTGGTCCATTGGGGACTTTACTATATATCCAATAATAAGCCTAAGAAGATTAATGCGTTGTTGCCATTTAATATTATAGTTTAGTAATATTTTTTTTCGCTTGCAATTTTGAAGTCTTTAGTTCGAATTTTTTGAATTGCGAGTTTAATACCAATTGATTTATTTCTTTAAAAAGGAGAATAGTTGGTGGCTCACCCTGAAAGTCTACATTTCTGAGGGCCAAGAAGACTCACATAGACATATGAGCCTCCTCCTAGCCATCATTGTGGGATTCACCGACGTTAAGAATCAAACCCAAAATGTGTTGTGCAAAATACGAGCTTGAAATTCGTCCATAACTACTAGATCACCCTGTAATATTTTATTCTCTCACTTCTTAGTGTAAACATATTCATGTATAGAAAATTAATGCATTGTTAACAGTTTGGTAAAACTCAACAAATAAAGCGTGGTCCTTGTTTGGGGAAAACGCATTCAGACACAAACATGACGCGTGGTCCTTGTTTTACTTCGGTCAGAATCTAGTCACCCCACAGTTTACATTCATTCACATACCATGTACATTCTTATATGTTATAGGTTCTTTACTTATCCTAATTAATCACAACTAATCATCTAAAACCCTCATTCATTGTACATGATGGATTTGTCTTTGTGTCAATTTAGGAGGTAAATGCAATGAATATGAATGGTACACTATCACGACGGAGACAGTGGCAGATCTAGAAAATATAGTGCGAAGTGCGCAAAAAGATAGTTTATTCATGGAGGCATTTAGGCGAGCAATTGGTGGGTTTGTGTCATCAACCGAACCAAGTTGCACACATTTAAGAAGATATTGACATATGCCGAGGCAATCTGACGAGTGCTATTGAGAGAATTTGTCGAGTGTTAATGCAGCTTGCGAGAAACATTTTGTCAAACACTTGGTGTGCACAAAAAAGACATGTACCAAACATCCAGAGGGTCCTCGTAAGACCTTTACATGTATATTTCAGACAAGAATTATCTTCCCTCATATTTTTTTTCCCTTCTCTTTACTTCCCAATTTTTTGTAGAGAGAAAGACGAAAAAAAAGTAGTGGGAGAAAGAAGAGAAAAAAACTGTGAGGGGAGGAGAGGGAATCCTCATTCGCCATTGGACGGAGAAAACGTTTTTTGTATTTGTTGCATGTAGAATATCTTTCACGTTCTTAATTATTTGTTGCTCATAAAATATAGCAAATATGAGACAACTCGTTTGTTTTGAGTTCTAATTAAATAAGAGCACGCATAGAAACTCATTATTTTGCTTTAAATTCTCATGAAATGATTGAAATGTGGGTTTGTATGTGCAAAACAAAGGCATTTTTCTTTTTCTTTTTTTGTTTGTCCTCTTTCTGTGAGAAGTATATAAATAAATTATCCATTTTTTTAATAATTTTTTTTTTGTAAATTATTATCTAAACTATTTATGAATAGTACTTTGTTTGTCAATAAAAAAATTTGAAAATTAATAATTAAACAAAAAATTGAAAATATTTTTTTGACCCCATGTCTCTCACTTCAAACCCTTCTTCCACGCCCAATTTTTTTTTTTTCGAAAAGTTTTGTTTTGCTTTCTAAAGTATGATATAAATAAATAAATATATATTTTATAACAAATAATAGAAAATTTTAATTATACACGTATGACCGTATACAAAGGATACCATTGACTCAAACATGCTCTCGTGTAGATTGACCAAAAATTAAATAAAAACATTCAATAGGTCTTTCTCTTTGTTCCTCTACCTACAAGGAACGGGTAACTATTCCTATTTAGGATAAAAATTCAATTAAATTTAGAGAGTTTTAACGAAAAGTCTACGGTACTATTCACTTTAACGAAAAACCACATTTTTACACTAAAAAGTCAAACCTGATACTATTCACTTTACCCTTTATTTTGTCCTTATCATTAAAATTCAAAGTTTTCAAGTAATTTTCATTAGTTTTCCTTTAAATTTAGTATGAGCTAGGTTTGTGGAGTTCGAAATTCAAATTGAACCCGGCCCATGATTAACATCTAATTAACACAAATAGAGGCATGCCACACAAGAAGTTGATTAATATATGTCAAAATACTTGCATAACATTTTTATATCGAGATAACACACTTACAACAAGTTACGTACCATCATAATAAGTACACTTACAACAAAGTTACGTATTGGTAGTTAGCAATGAATTTCAGGTTCGTATTGCACATAACGCGTCATAGGTTCGATTTTTGAGCTGATGAATCACACAATGATTGCTAGAGAGAGGCTGAAATGCCTATACGAGTCTTATTGCCCCTCAAAATATTGGAGTGTCTTGATGAAGTCACCAGCTGGTCTTCTTTTTTAAAAAGTGATGATGAGATAAGTTATATAAAATATAAAACCTCACAATTATATATTGTTCTCAACTTTTAGCAAATGTTACTCAAATTTGAGATGTGCTCGTTAGGCAAATTGATAGAATAATTCACCGTTAATGAAGATGATTAATGTGTTGATTTATATATAATGAAGAGTAAGACTCAAAATCATGAACTCCATTCATCGAGATTCAATCAATTATCTTAAGACTTTGACGACATAATTTCGTTAATACAATTTAAATATGTCGAATTCCGAATAATAAAAATCTAAATCCATTGGAATTATCAACAAAAATTGAAATAATAATTCACCTCTCTCTCTCTCTCTCTCTCTCTCTCTCTCTCTCTCTCTCTAACTTAGTGGGATTGACGAGATTGACAGAAGAAGCCAACGCTGTTCCTCGATGATGTTGACCTAACGCACAAAAGGCCAAACACGATGGTGGGGCCCCCAAGATGCTACAAAAATTAGCTTCCAAACGATACAAACACTCTATTCCCCCTAATCAATACATAGATTTAGACGCTGGAGTGTTAAAAAACAAAGAAAATTATGAAAGTTAAGAATATTTGTGACACAATATTTTATAATATTGCTAAGGGAATTGACGTTAATGTGAGGGGACAGATAGTTTATAAAAGTCCAACTTTTAAGAGACTTCCCTCAAGAGAAACTCCACCGTTGCAAAGGTTATCCCAGGCTATTCACTATTTAATCCACCTAGTGAACAGTAACTGCCATTAATAAACAATAATTATCTTTTGCATCTCCACCGATACATTGAATAGCCCTGGTAATAGTTAATAAAATATTATTATGTTTTAATTTATAATTAATATTATATTATTTACTTTGTACAAATTAATATTATATTATTAATTTATCTTTTCCTTTGGAAACTTCTCCACTTCTTCCTTTGTCTGAAACTTCTCCACCTTCCACTTCCTTTTGAAACTTCGCCAGACGCACCGCCACTTCCTCCTCCGTCTGAAACTTCTCCACCTTCTTCTCACACTGGCCCACCATCTCTGCTTATGCTGATGATGCAGAAATTGGGTTCTTGAAATTCGAGCGAACGGGTTAATCGAGGGGATAAAGATCTTGGTGTCAATCGAATTGAGATTATTCCCGACGCTCGAGATTTATGCGATGAGGACAGCGTTGTGTGAAGTGAGAGTGAAAGGGAAAGCCGGGTCTGCGGGAGTATATGGAGGCCAGAAATGCAGAAATGCAGAGGAGATGATGGCTAACGTCGCCCAGACGTCAGCCTTGCGTCACGTAACCTTCGGGCTCTCGGGCTGGCAACTCCTGCCGGGCCTCTCCCTCGAGCCCACTCGGGCTCCATCACTAGCACAAGTTGGACCTCCCCACTCGGGCCCTTTGGTCCTGTTTGAGAGCCAGTCCATCGGGCAATAGGCCATGGTATAACTGCTCTAACATTTCTCCATCACCAATATTATTCTAACTTGATTTATTATCAAGCGTTGGGTTTATTACAAAAGGTTTCAATGATATTACGGGTAGAAATTCTAAAATATTAATTGTATATTATTTTGTCATATGACCGATGTAGAATTCTATTCTCCAACATATACAAAAAAAAAATTAATGAAATAGGTGTCTTATCATGACAATGTTTTAGGCAATTAGCTTCATATGACTTTATATTATTGGCTTAAGACACTACAATAACAATAATTCATTACATAAAAATTCATCTCCTATTTCGCGCACACCGTATTATAATCTAGTTCTGATTAACCTGTTTTGGCCTACTAATAGTTGACATTAATCATTGGCTTGGTTATTATTTAAATATCATTTTAGGCAGAAAATCAATAAAATTAGAGACCATTTAATCATATGCATCAAGTATATGTAGATGACTGAATTATAAATTAAATGTCGATTAACTCTTTTGTTTCTTATTAGTGACACATAATCTTTACCAATTAATAAAACATTTATTGTCAACCAAAATTACCAATTTAACCCTCTAATTAAAACAGAACATGAATAAGAAATATGAGGCAAAAATGTAATTTCACACAACCAAATTTTGCTATTTTTTTTCTCTTCAAAACCTCACTTACATGTAATCATAACATATCTCTAATTAAAAATAAAAAATAAAAACTTCACACTCCCACATTCTTTATCACTCTCTTCCTCTCTCCTTCTATTTCAAAAAACAAAAATAAAAAATTTTCACACACTTTGCATTTGGTAAATGAAATGATTTTGAAAAGTTTTGTTTTTACCTACTCACACTTTCTGTTTTGCGCCCCTCCAGGTTTTAGGTAGACTTACTGATGGTGGCATTTGTGGATATTGGCAGTTATGACAAAGTATAATATTCGTAGGACTTCTTCTGGTACTGTATAACTAGTACTTGTCCTACTGGTCTGCACCTAGACTTCTATGCTCTGATTAGGTGTATTTACACTTGTATCTCATTCCTAGCACTTCCTGCTTATTAGTGCACATTAATTAGCTTTCGGTTCTTATTTATTCGTATATTTCATATCCTTATTGATTATGCACTGTGCACATGGCTACGTCACTCTCACATGACGGCCAACATGCCTTGATTTTAGGTCGGGGTGTGTCATGTAATCACAACATATCTCTAATTAAAAATAAATAAATAAATAAACTTTCGACTCCCACATTCTCTATCACTATCTTCATCTCTCATTCTATTTCAAAAACAAAAATAAAAATTTTTCTCACACACTTTGTATGCGCCCATATGCTAGTTTAATTTAAAATTTTAGGGAACTTTAACGAAAAGCTCTAGATACTATTCACTTTAACGAGAAATCATATTTTTACACTAAAAAGTCAATCATGGTACTACTTACTTTATCATTTATTTTGTTATTTTTGTTAAAACTCAAAGTTTCCAAGTCATTTTCATTAGTTTTCACTAAATTTTAATCTCCATAGCGTCATCCTAATAATAAAAAGAAAACTAATGAAAATAGTTTGAAAATTTTGAGTTTTAATCAAAAGGACAAAAATTTGTTGTAAGTGAATAAAATCAGAAGTGATATTTTAGAGTAAAAATATATTTATCGTAAAAAATAAACAGTACCAAGAATGTTTCATTAAAATTCCCGATAATAAATGCATGGACATGGAATTACAGCCAATAAATGTGCACGTAATGACGTAATGTTGCGAAAAAAAAAGCCGTGTGTTTATCGTTTGCTGTGCTGAAGATACATATGAAAAGACAAGTGTAAGCAACACGGCATTATGTTTGGTATAGTTTGTCTTTGTCTGTGGCGTGGCGCATGCTTACCCACCTCTCACAATACGACAACGTATACGTCCAAATATTACAAAGCACTCAACCAATATTTTATTTTATTTTATTTTTGTCAAATAAGAGTTTATAGTAATTGTGTTTTGGACGGTTGTTTAATATTTTTAGGCATCAAGTTCAAGGGCACATACTATTTTTGGCTTTTCATACACCGTGTTTTATTTTGTAAATTGTTATTAGCACTTCAAAAATCTCATTCTATATTTTTTATAAGTGTATTTTTCTTTCTAATTATATAAAATTTGGAGTGTCAAATGAGATTTTTTGATTGCTAATAATAATTCACTTTATTTTTAGTCATCAGATAAAGTAAATGAAACAAAATTAACGGGCATAATTAAACAAGGTTATAAAAGAGGTCGAAAAGAGCATGTGTTTATCATTTGCCATAGGCTTAAATGTTAAAATAGTCTCTATGTTTTACCCTCTCTGTCAAATAATTTGGTCTTTGTGTCTTTAATTTGGCTAAATTAGTTCCTATGTTTATCTTACTTAGCCAATCCTACTATCCTAGACAATTTGTTAAAGAACCGTTAAGTTATGATAGAAATGAAATCCCGTTGTAAACCCAGTAAATGCACGCGAGATCACATGATTGATGATGATGCTTCAAAATATTTACGCGTCAGATTGTCTTGCG